AACAACATTGTAGGTTCAGATCAGATGAAACCCAACATGGCAGCACAATATTGTACAAATTCTTTCTGAGCAGCATTGTACCTGAATGGTTGGTTTACCAAACCCTGTAAACAAGAGCCTGATGACGGTACTCTTATTGTTTATGGGGGTGCTGCAGGACCAAAATAAAAAAGAGCTGTAGGGGAGGATTTACTAAAACTGGAACACTCAGAATCTGGTGCAGCTGTGCATGGTAGCCAATCAGCTTCTAACTTCAGCTTGTTCAATGAAGCTTTGGCAACAAAACCTGAAAGCTGATTGGTTTCTTAGCAGAATTGCACCAGATTTTGCACTCTCCAGTTTTAGTAAATAATCCCCTTAATGTCCCCCTTAAAAATGATTGTTGTAACAATCAGATCCCCTCCAGCTGGAATATTCTTGCGTTGAGACCCTCACTCCTTCATTATCATTTATCAAGGACCCCAATTTTAAAAAAAGCCTTTAGCCCAAGATGGCAGGGCTACATGAAGGTATTTAGGTTTACTGTAGTCAGATCAGTAAAAAGATTCTTATTGATTGTTATAGGATACTACACCTTCCATTGCCTTATTAAATTAGAGCGTAAAATGTGTAACATTCAGCAAAACATCCAGCAACAGCAGTAATATCACACTATGTATTATTCATTATATAGATATGAGCTCAGAGTTGTAAGAGACACTGCACGCGCAGAACTGGTTCAGCCACCTATTAGACATGAAAGGAGCAAATGAAGCACCATCAAATCTGAACAGAGCTGGCATACTCATAACAGACCCCCCCCCCCCCCCTCCTTCCCTGTAAAACCTCTATCCTAAAAAATAAGCCAGGGCTACGAGCAACTATAATGTGCAAATCAAAGTAACACACCAATGTAAGGAGAGCATTCTTCCCACTGACTACCAATGTAAGGGGCATTCTTCCTATTGACCACCAATGTAAGGAGGGCATTCTTCCCACTGACTACCAATGTAACAGGCATTCTTCTTATTGACCAACAATGTAAGGAGGGCATTCTTTCCACTAGCTACCAATGTAATGGGCATTCTTCCTGTGGACCACCAATGTATTGGGTATTCTTCTCACTGACTAACAATGTATTGACCACTCTTCCCCCTGATTACCAATGTAATGGCCATTCTTCCCACTGACTACCAATGTAATGGGCATTCCTCCCACTGACTACCAATGTAATGACCATTCTTCCCCCTGAATACTAATGTAATGACCATTCTTCCCTCTGAATACCAATGTAATGTCCATTCGTCCTATTAAACACCAATGTAATGCGCATTCTTCCCACTCACTACCAATGTAATGGCCATTCGTCCTATTGACCACCAATGTAATGCGCATTCTTCCCACTATTTAAGTAATGGCCTTCCCACTATTTAAGTAATGGCCATTCTTCCACTGACTACCAATGTAATGGTCATTCTTCCTATTGATCACAAATGTAATGGGCATTTTTCCAATTGACCACCAATGTAATGGGCATTTTTCCAATTGACCTCCAATGTAATGGCCATTTTTTGTTCTGACCACCAATGTAAGGAACATTCTTCCCACTGACCACCAAGCTAAGGGCATACTCATAACAGACACCCCTCCCCCTTTCCCTGTAAAACCTCTAACCTAAAAAAAATGAGCCAGGGTTACGAGCAACTATATTTTGCAAAGCAGACTAATCCACACGGACCAATCAGAATTCATTTTCCAGCAGTCATATTAATAAAAAGATGATTGGTTCATTTTGAGTCCATTTAAAAATTGAATTAAAAAGATAAAACCACAGAGACTACACAGGGTTACCAAACGGCCAGGAAAATGGCAAATGGAGTGTGACATTTCATGGGGGGAGATAGAGAAGACTGCAGGGAACGAGTGATCTTTATGAGATGGCAATTAACGTGTGTACATGAATATATAGTGTAGCGTCCATATATCACTCAATGACAGGTTTGCACGGTTATGCTAGAGCTTATACGTTACCCTAGCAACACACAAGACATATAGTAAATAGTGGGAACGATGGTGGACACACCTAGTACATTCACAGAGACACTGCCGTTCTGTGAATGCTCGCTTCAAACAGCTGTCGTTTTGCCTGTGCCAATTTATCCCTGCAAGCACCTGTCGGTGTGCATTGACTTGTGTGTTATGATGCAGGCATGGCGCAGGGCTCTGATTCCCAGGGCAGCACCGTAGGATGAATTTTTTGGGCTGCTTTAACCATTTGAAGTCTAGAATGCACCGCTGATTTAAAAAAAAATTCTAGTTTCCCCAGGTGATGTGTCGGATGGGTATATGACGGTGTCAAATCTGGGTATTCAACCCAAGCACTCCATATTTGCACACCAGTCACCACACCCACTCTTTAATCTACCTGTCGGTGAGGATATCTGCAGTCTAATTTGGAGTACGGTAGGCCCCCCTGGAAGGTAGCAGGAGACCATGTTGCTCATTGAAGTGGCATGGGGCCGTATTTCTCTGTAGGGTAGCAAGGGGCCATATGGTATTGGTAGAGCAAAAGTGGGCCAAAATCTCAATAAACTGCTCATGTGGATAATATGGGTTGTTTTGCTCTATAGGGTATTGCTGCAAGGTGTGGGCTAGGCAGTATGCATCATGCAAGTGTTGTCTGAAAATCCAGTCACCATCCACACTGATGATCCCATGGACCCCAGCCCTCCCTCCCTTGGTGGTGTACCATTCTCTTACCTCCCTATCATGGTGGAGTGCTGCTGTACCGCAGCCTCCAGCAGGCGCTCCAGGATGGTCCACTCGCCCATCACGTCCGCCTCTTGCCCCGCCGTGCTCAGCTCGGACACCGGAGAGGAACGAGCTGGCTCCCCTCTCCAAATCACCTTTCCCAACAACCGATCTCCTCCTGTCGATTTTTTACCGATTGCTCCTTGGCAGCATCATCAGCCGGGGAAGGGGGGGGACGGGGAGAGCCAAAACTCTCCTGCTCCTCCTCCACTCTGGCCCCAAGTCCTGTCCTCAGCTCACCCCAAATCTCTGATATGGGGCAGGTAGCATTTCCTTGACCACTAGTCACCTTGCCCCAGGAGATGGCTGCAGGCGTTGCTACACAGACCAGTGCACACCCCTTAGCTTAAATGATTGCTCTAAGCCTAAAATCAATAGCTATCCTGCACTAATAAATTAAAAGGATCCCTGGCTGAAGCAGGCGGCGAGCACCTCTTCTGCTTCTTATAAGATGAAAAAAAAAGGCTGCCTTGACTGGTTAGTGGAACCCCTTCGCCTTGTACATGAGAGCCTGAGCTGCACTGCTGCTTAATTTTTTTTCTGCATTTCCACCTTCCCCAGCCAGGTCGCTGTCCAGTGCTGAAACAGCTGCTGCTCCAGATTAGTATCCTTGCTGCCAGTGATTAGCATCAGTTCCAGGTTATCTCCTCTCCCTCCCTGCCATCTCCTCTGCTTCTGTTACCTTCCAGCCGCCTGCTCCCCATTCATTCCCTGAGACTACCTGCTGGTTCCCCTCCTCTCCTTGTGTCATAGCATCCTTCGAGCTGCTACCTTCTATGCCCTCCCCCTGCTTCTCCCTTTGTCTCCCCCTCGCTCCTTACTGATCCCTCCCTTCTCCGATTCCTCCAAAGCCTGATGTCTCTCTGTCACTTTCCCCTCTACGCTCTCTCGCTCTTTCCATTGCTTTCTCTGTCTCTTACATGCTGCCGTCTCGTTTAATCCGGATAAATGACTCTGTCTCTATTGGATGGGAGGAGATTTTCAGCCATATTATAAGCTGATTTCATCCTGCATCCTTCCCCGATTTCTGCAATGGCTTGTGTGTCGGAATGTAGTCAAGTGATTGATTGTGGCCGTCTCCAATAACCAGGGGATGCTGGGTGTCTCCAATCCTCGTTCATTCAGTAGGGCAAAGAGCAATGTGCAAAGTGTAGTAACCTATGGCAACTAACAGGAGTCATCATTCCCTGATATGAGCCCAAGAGATCTAATTGGTTGATATAGGTTACTGTACTTTTTGCGTTACCATTGCGGTTTGTGCTGCTTTACCGAATAAGCCCATTACGTGTCTCTGTGTTGCCTCAGCCTGGCCTTCTGCATTATGTCATCTCTCCTTTTTTGCCACAATATAGATTTTACAATTCCTTTGTTCCTTTCTGTTTCTTTATTAGCCCACCCATTTATTTGCATCACATTCATCATTTGATCTCCATCTCCCAATGATTCGTTCTCTACATTTATCAATCATTGAGCCATTTGCCCCCACCAGAATGCTTAAAGGACCAATATAACCACTGTGGCCATATGCAGAAAGTTATTAATAACAGAAACATGTATGTAAGAGTTCTTACCTTATGCTGAACAAGTATTTTAGATAGTAGACATTCTGCTTTAACTGTTCAGGGTGTTATCTGCCTTTTGAGGCTCTAAAAGGCTATAGATATTGATAGGGGTTCCCTGAGCTGTGGCTAGTTGACCTCCCATCTGAGGGTAGCTTCTTAGTTTCATGTCCATCACCACTTGGCAGAGCCAGTAGCATGACACCAATAATCTTTTTAGCTGTCTGTAGGGGTAGCATTCTGCCAACCATTGCAAAGTAAGGCATTCTTCTCCCTGACCACCAATATAAGGAGCATTCTTCCCACTGACCACCAATTTGAGGTGCATTCTTTCCACTGACCACCAATGCAAGGAGCATTCTTCCTACTGACCACCAATGTAAGGAGCATTCTTCCCACTGACCACCAATGCAAGGAGCATTCTTCTTACTGACCACCAATGTAAGGAGCATTCTTTCCACTGACCACCAATGTAAGGGGCATTCTTTCCACTGACCACCAATGCAAGGATCCTTCTTCCTACTGACCACCAATGTAAGGAGCATTCTTCCCACTGACCACCAATTTGAGGAGCGTTCTTCCCACTGACCACCAATGTAAGGAGCATTCTTCCCACTGATCACCAATTTGAGGAGCGTTCTTCCTACTGACCACCAATGTAAGGAGCATTCTTCCCACTGACCACCAATGTAAGGAGCATTCTTCCCACTGACCACCAATGTAAGGAGCATTCTTCCCACTGACCACCAATTTGAGGTGCATTCTTTCCACTGACCACCAATGTAAGGAGCATTCTTCCTACTGATCACCAATGTAAGGAAGATTTTTCCCATTGACCACAATTGTAATAATATTTTATGACAAATATCTTACATTACAGATCTCAGTGTAAACACATCATCTGTAGGATTACTGTACATAGTGTAAAGTTATGCATTAGTTTGTTGACATGTTTCGCTGTCAATACCGCCTCTTCGGAACACAACACTCATATGTAACAGGTATCCATTACTTATCTGCAATTTGACAATTTGAGAAAAACACATATATATATATTGTGTGTGTATATACAGTAATATATATATATATATATATATACACAGTATATATATATATATATATATATATATATATATATATAATAAAATAGACTCTGTCTTATATTTTTGTTGGCTGAACAAAAAACACTAGGTCTTATTTTCGGGGTAAGACTTATTTTTTAAATGTCCAGGTGTGGACAGGGGGTGCAGAGGTGAGCTGCAGGCAGTTGTGGATGAGGGTTACTATAGAGAGGGCCGGCTGATGACAGTTGTGAGCTGCAGTCAGGTGTTGCAGAGGTGACTTGACAGGTGAGTTTCAGACAGGGTGCAGGGGTGAGTTGCAGACGTGGGATGCAGAGGTGAGCTGTGGCCAGGGGGTGCAGAGCTGAGCTGTGGCTGGGGGGTGCAAAGGTGGGTTGCAACTCAGTTCACCTCTGCACCCCCCAGCCACAGCTCACCTATGCACCCTGTCTGCAACTCACCTGACTCAATTTACCTCTGCAACACCTGACTGTAGCTCACCTTTGCACATTCCTCCCCTCCCCCTTTACTGCCCTCATATGGTTAGCCAGCCCCCTCTCTATAGTAACTCCCGTTTCGGGTCTTATCTTCCTACACAGTGCACCAAGCGCACTTACTCACCGCTCCACCTTTTCCCCACTGGCCGGTGATCACCTCTGGGGCATTGGCTTCCATGCATTAGACTGCAGGAGGCGATGCCCCACCCCTAAACACACTGCATAGTGCGCCCGCAGATATCTATTCCTTCCCTGCCCCACAGTGAGTACAGAGGTACAGAGGTAGGGAGGTTCTGTGGGAGTGGATGGTGCTGTCACTTCAGCCGTGCTTCTGTGTTTATAAGAGACAGTAGATATGGGTGTGCGCAGGGCCAGTGCTGGAGGTGGCGGAATGGTGTTCCACCATGTTCCGGCTGAAAAAAAGCCCTGATCACAACTAGGTCTTATTTTCGGGGTAGGTGTTATACTTTAGCAATTCCCAAAAACAGCACTAGGTCTTATTTTCGGGGTAGGTCTTATTTTAGGGGAAACGGTATGTATATATATATATATATATATATATATATATATATACACCCTGACCCCGAGGGAAAGAAGCAGGAGGGCAGAGGCAAGAAGAAAGCTCTCTGCCTTCCTGCTTCTTTCTCTTGGGGTGGCATTTTTCACTGACCACCCTTGTAAGGAGCATTCGTCCCACTGACCACCCATGTAAGGAGCATTCTTCCCACTGACCACCAATGTAAGGGGCATACTTCCCAATGACCACCGATATAAGGGGCATTCTTCTCACTGACCACCAATAAGGGGCATTCTTCCAACTGACCACCAATGTAAGGGGCATTCTTCCCACTGACCACCAATGTAAGGGGCATACCTCCCATTGACCACCAATGTAAGGGTCATTCTTCCGACTGACCACCAATGTAAAGGGCATACTTCCCACTGACCACCAATGTAAGTGGCATTCTTCCGACTGACCACCAATGTAAGTGGCATACTTCCCACTGACCACCAATGTAAGGGGCATTCTTCCCACTGACCACCAATATAAGGGGCATTCTTCCAACTGACCACCAATGTAAGGGAGTTTCCACATTGACCACCAATGTAAGGGGCGTTTTTCCCACTGACCACCAATATAAGGGGCATTCTTCCAACTGACCACCAATGTAAGGGAGTTTCCACATTGACCACCAATGTAAGGGGCGTTTTTCCCACTGACCACCAATATAGGGAACATTCTTCCTACTGACCACTAGTGATGGTCTAGATGTTTGAGTCGAACATAAGTTTGACTTGAACATTGACTGTTTGTGTGCTCGGCAAGCACATGAATGGTGAGGGCGTTTGGAGGGCTGTTCGCCCGCTGTGCCCCACAATGCACTGCGCTTTCACAGTGCATTGTGATTGGCCAAAGCAATGTACCTCACCACAGGTCAGATCCAATGCTTTGGCCAATCACAGCATAATTGGGTGGCGCTAACAGTGATGTCACTGTCCAATTGGAAGGCAGAAGACCTGATTTTTTCAACTGCAGATAATTTACACATACAGGTTTTGTTCCTCCCCCAGCCATAATCCTTGCTAACACACAAAAGCATTGCAGCACAACTGATCGGCCCCTTGTGCAGCTTCTCCCTCTCCCCGTCTGAGCTTTGCTGTACAATACATTGCAAAAGACCGATACTAGGTCCAAATGAGGTACATACACTGGTGGCATTACAAATATAAATGTAATCATGTGTTAATAGTACAAAGCTGCATTAATCTGTGTCTCTTATGGGCAGCACAGTGGCTAAATGGTTAGCACTTCCACCTAGAAGTACTAGGGTCGTAGGTTCGATTCCCAACCACGGCACCACCTGCCTGCGTGGGTTTCCTCTGGGTACTCTGGTTTCCTCCCACACCCTAAAGACATGCTGGTAGGTGAATTGGATCCTGTCTAAATTGGCCCTAGTATGTGTATGTCTGGAGTTTGCATGTTCTCCCTGTGCCTGCATGGGTTTCCTCCGGGTACTCCAGTTTCCTCCAACACTCCAAAGACATGCTGGTAGGTGAATTGGATCCTATCTAAATTGTCCCATGTATGTAAATGTAAGTTAGGGACCTTAGATTGTACGCCCCTTGAGAGTTAGGGACTGATGTGTATGTACAATATATGTGTAAAGCACTGCGTAAATGAATGGTGCTATATAAGTACCTGAAATAAATAAATGTTGTCCTGAAGTTCAGCTTTAACATATTTTACCATTAATAAACAACTCTTGTTTTATATGAATACATTTCTGAATAATGTTCAGTGGTCCTTTTAAATATTCTAATGTGTCAGTAGACAGCATGCCACCTGAATTTCCTAAAATAACATCTGCTATGCTAATCTAGAGGCTCATCTATTCATGTTTTGCATTCATTATTGCACTACTGGGGCGTAAGTAACAGATTTGTCAACATTTGTTTTTTTTTTGTAAAGTGTAAAGTTTTGTAAAGTTTAAGAATATCATCTTCCATCTTTTGAATTAACAACTTTCACTAAAATATAACCTGGTGATCCTGCCATTAAGGTCCTTGTTTAGGCACTTCCTGTTGTCATTGCTCTGTCCTTGTTTCTCAAACTTATCTTGAGTTGTCACCTGTCATAGCACTTCCATTGGAGGAGTGGCTGTGCCACTTTCAAAAAACTAGTCCTGCATAGTGACATGTAGTTACTCCCAAAATAAGTGCATGGCAAGAAGTTGCTGCAAGGAGGCTGCAGGAAATCAGCAGTGCTAAAAGGAAAACAAAAACATGAAAATAAGTTAAAAAATAATATTTTCGATATAAAAAAAAAGAAAAATTTTTTATGATAGAGGTCTGATTATGTCCATATTTCTGTGCTCAAAGTGGTACATTTTTTGCATGGAAATAAGTATTTTTTTTATTGTAGGCCTGTAATTTTTAGGAATAACTCACTGAAATCTGTCCGAACAAGAGTCTAGTAAACATTCCGGGTATGTTAAAATTTGAAACACGAAATCATAAATTATAATTTAATAAATAATCATAAAAAATAATAATATAATAATAATAAATTGAATTCAATAATATAATCAAACCAAAAACACTGAAATTTGAAATATAGCTCCAAGTTCACACATCACTGAGCAAAGTCACAAAATCGTTTTCAGTGTCTGATGACGAATTTCCCCACAAATCATTATCACTCAATTTTGCAAGTGGTTCTGATTTACTATCGCTATTCTCTAGCTGGTCTAAAACCACTTTTGACCTAAAGGGACACTTTTTGGACGCCATGGACATTTCTCAGATTCCAGGCAGAAGAAAGAAGAGTAAAAATGCAGGCAGTGTGCCGGACAAAGCACTCGGGACAAAATGTATGTGAAATGCTTTGATACAGTAATGTTTTACTATGTGATTTTAGTGAATTTAGTGAATGTCACTTTTAAAATTTTCAAATTTCCCGCCAGTTCCGTCCCCCGTACGTCCCGACTTCGCAGGGAACAGAACCCAGAAGACAGATGCCGGCATCGGCCGGAGGATTGCCGGGGACACTGCAGGAGGGACATCACGGGAGCGCAGGACAAGGTAAGTGAATAAGAGATCCCGGAGCAACGCTGCAGGGTATTCCTGAGTGTAGCTCGGGATTACCGCTTGTGGTGCTGAAACTTTACCCCAAACTACACTCGGGAATACCGCCAGGGAGGTTAAATGTCAGCCAGTTAGGGTTTATATCTACTTTAAATAGTATATCCATTCAAGGCATGAAAACAATCAATGGGGTGGATTTACTAAAGGCAAATAGGCTGTGCACTTTGCAGGTGCAGTTTCACTCATTTTCCCCAGAGCTTAGTAAATATGGTAAAGCTCTGCTGATTTCCATCATCCAATCATATACAAGCAAAAATTTTTTTTTTGTTAAATTGTACTCGATTGGGTGTTCCTTACAAAGTGAAGCTTCACCACATTTACTAAGCTCTGGGGAAAATGAGTGCAACTGCACTTGCAAAATATTTGCTTTTAGTAAATCCACCCCAATGTTTTTTTGTGCTATCCAGAAAATACTGCAGCTGTGCTAAAATAGCAACACTCACTCAATTTGCTTTAATAGAAACCCATCACAAGGAAAACAGAGGCAGCTACTGCTGAGCTGTTCTAAAAATATTAAAATTTCATGTCTGTCATAGTGAGCCTTTGTCTTAAATACTTTTAGTTACCTTTTTTTTTTCCTTTTTTCTTTTTCCTTTTTTTCTTTTCTTTCTGTGCTCAAATGCATTTTATGATCCCCTAGAATGCTGACTTTGTCTTTTCACAAGTCTTCAAATATATTTGGACTTTTGCTTAATTGATGACCATGTCTTATGGCTGTTGGAGGTCTCTCCTTATTCATCCAGATGTTACTGATCTATGTCTAGCAGGAGCTATCCAGGAGTGTGCCGGTATCATCGCCTGGTAATTGCTGTTTTTGTGTTTATTTAGCTACATTATGTTTTATATAATTTGTGTATGATTACTTATTGAGTTTATGTTATTTGGTTTTTGTTTTAGTCTATTGTAGGGTTTTATGTTTTGTTTTGTTCCCTGAAGAAGTGGGTTGCATCCCACGAAACGCGTTGGAATTTACAAGCAAAACACCTCTCAAGTGGATATCAATCAGTTACGTGTTTTTCAACACCTATGAAGTTGTCCAATTAGGTGTTGTTTCAATACAATTTATGTCTCCACTGTTAGCCAAGCATTTTTATTCACTATTTCCATAGTTTCTCTGTCCCTATGTAGTGGCTGCGGTTCGTTGCGGTTGACACCCGTGACACCTCAGCGTCTAGGACGTCAGCCACGACTTACCACGACCTTTCTTTTTTTTGTTGTTTTTGATTGTAATTTTATGTTTTTTCATGTACACAGTGGCTAAATGGTTAGCAATTCCACCTGGCAGTACTCGGGTCGTTGGTTTGAATCTCAGCCACGGCACCACCTGCCTGGAGTTTGCATGTTCTCCCTGTGCCTGCGTGGGATTCCTCCAGGTACTCCGGTTTCCTCCCACACTCCAAAGAGATGCTGATAGGTTAATTGGATCCTGTCTAAATTGGCCCTAATATGTGTATGAATGTAAGTTAGGGACCTTAGTTTGTACACCCCTTGAGGGTTAGGGGCTGATGTGAATGTACAATATATATGTAAAGCGCTGCGTTAATTGACGGCACTATATAAGTACCTGAAATAAATAAATAAATATGCCTATCAATTTTTTCCACCAATAGGTGGTTTTTTAACCTAATAAAAGGTGTTCAATCCTATCTATTGCCTATATGTGTTTAGTATATTTCCAATGTTATGGTGTGGTACCTTCAAAGCCCCATTAGCTTTTTTAGTTATGGTTTTTCTCAACTTTTAGTCACTGACCTAGCACAAGTATGCAAATGATGCATTTTGACTTTACTCTGACTTTCCACCTCCTGAATACTTATTTTCTGTCACTGACTCAGAGGGTGGACAAAACAACAAGGCAACCAGCATTTTCAGAAGCAGATCAGCAATGCTACCCCCTGTATTGCTCTCATGATAGGCTTCCATTAAGATGATCTCTCTGTAATTTTGCAGCAAGAATATAGAGACCACCTCACAAGGTCACTGGGTGGGTAGCATACTTTCCCAAGCCTGTGCTGTCTAACTTCTTTTCTCTCTACTTCTTGTATCACACTCAAAGTTCAAGATTGGTAGATTAGAGAAACTTCTAAGTCTTGACATTTGTTTACATCAGGCCAGAATGATTGTTCTGGTTCCAGTTCCACTTGCAAGTCCAACTCTAATTGGGTTTGATTTATTAAAGGCAAATAAAACAGTCTGCTTTGCAAGGGAAGTTGCTCTTTGCAAAGAAATTTGCCCCAGAGCTTAGTGAATGCAGAAAGTGCAAGGAAAGTGGAAGTGCAAGGAAAGTGCTTGCATATGATTGGATGATGGAAGTCCGCATAGCGTCACCTCATTACTAAGCTTTAGGGCAATTTCCCTCGCAAAGTGAACAGCCCATTTGCCTTTAGTAGATCAACACCATTGACTTTTTTCCCCCATGATTTACCATTATCTTCTTTCATGTATACGTTCTTTCAGACTGGAAAGTTTGTGTCAGGGCAGGAGCTGTGGAACAGACAGGCAGGCCTAGAGGCAGGGCACGCACTGACTGACGACAACCACCACCCACAGACCGGAGTCCCTCAGGGCGTGGAGTCTAAGTCCCAGGCTGCCTTT